GGAGACAAAATGCTTGCTTCTGACTCAGAAGTCCTTCAGATGTGGCCAGCGGTTGGCTTTGTGGTAGGCCGGAATCTTTTTGTCCGGTTTGCCCTCCCCAGTCCCCCTCTGAGAGCCAGCTGGTGCCCGCAGTGCTGGTATTTGCTTGGCTGTAAAAACAAACCAGGGTCAACAAGGAGATAAAACAAGTAAACAAATGCTGGAGGCTGCAAGGGGAGCTGGAGACATGGCTTCTGCTGCTTTGTTACGCTTGAATTCGTCTTTTATTTAGGTAGGTGAAAGCCTCAATTGCTTGGAAGCAGTCTCTGAGGAGCACAGCTGGCTTTGGCCACAGCCCAGGCATCAGCTCAGCGCCGTGTACGGCCCGAGAAGGACACGGTGCTTCTCCTTCACAGGGCTGGGGGAGACCATGGGAGAGCAGCAGGGTGAGAATTAGAATCATAGCAGAGTTTTGGTTGGAAGGGAATTTTAAAGGTCATCTAGTCCAACATCCCTCCAATAAGCAGGGACATCTTCAAGTAGATCAGGTTGCTCAGAGCCTGGTCCAGCCTGACCTGGAATGTTTCCAGGGATGGGGTGTCTCTGGGCAACCTGTTCCAGTGTTTTACTACCCTCATTTTAAAATATTTCTTCCTTATAATTAGTCTAAATTTACCCTCTTTTAGTTTAAAACCATTACCCCTTGTCCTGTCACAACAGGCAGTGTGTCCTGGAGCCTGGGTACAGAGTGACGTGCCAGGGCAGCCATTCTGTAGTAGTGACTTATCTCTCTCTTCTTTTTCCAAAATCAACTTACTTGACACATTCCCAGGTGATAAATGTTTGGTCTACTCACAGCTTTGTTTGTGTATGTAAAGGACAGTGTATTTTTACCGCACTTCCTTGTGCAGTGATTTTCTTTTGCTGGCAAGGAGGGCGACTCATTGCTCTGATTACTCATGCATAACATTATGTATGTAAATAAGAAAATCTAATCATTTCTGAGTGCTTGAGCTGTGGCAAGAGTGGGAAGCTGCTGAAGTGGAGCCTGCAGCAGCACTGACCTTACCAGCTGATGGAAAACCCCAGTAACCAGCAAGATGTGAATTGCCTTCCTTCACATGTTTTTCCCTGCATATTTCTCATGCAGACGTTGAGGCTGAGGGCAGCAGCACTGCCACAAGGATGTTAGGAGTAAAGTCAGTCTCGTCAAAGGATGTTCTTAAAAGGTAGAGGTGGTAGTTATTTGTCTTACGTTGGCGCAACTTTTGCTGAGTTTGCAGGCAGTCAAGGATCTGAACCACATCAAGGCTGTCCTTGCCCTTGCTAGATACCATGACGGCAGCTGAGATTGTTCCCCCTCTGCTGTCACTCTGCATCTCTCACGCTGCAGATTTACTGAGTGAACAGTTCAGACAACTGGGAAACTTCACCGTGGAAAATCAAGCCCCAGAGACCTCCCCCTCTTTTCTGCTGGCATCCTCCTGTGCAGATGTTTCTCCTCACTGTTCTGCATGGCTTGCCTTTGCCTGGAGCGAGATTACACCGTGCCAAGGCTGGGCCAGCAACCGAGCCCTTCTCTGCACAGTACCTGTGTGTCAGGCTGCTGGTTGGAAGAGACCAGGACAGCACTTATCCAACGCAGTCTTCACATTAACTCCTCTCTTGCCTTGGCCCTTCTGTCCATTTCTTTGCTATCTGCTTCCTTTGGGACCTAGAGGAGCTAATCCTGAGCTCCCCAGTTCAAGAAGGACAGGCAGCTCCTGGAGAGGGTACAGTGGAGGGCTACGAAGATGATGAAGGTCCTGGAGGCCCCTCCCCTCCCCTTATGAGGAAAGACTGAGGGACTTGGGTCGGTTTAGTCTGGAGAAGAGAAGGCTGAGGGGAGATCAGATCAATGCTTATAAATACTTCAAGGGTGGGTGTCAAGAAGATGGGGCCAATCTTTTTTCAGTCGTGCCCAGGGATAGGACAAGAGGAAATGGGCACAAACTTGAATATAAGAAGTTCCACCTAAACATGAGGAGGAATTTCTTTACTTTGAGGGTGGCAGAGCACTGAAATAGGCTGCCCAGGGAGGTGGTGGAGTTGCCATCTCTGGAGACATTCAAAACCCACCTGGACATGTTCCTGTGGAACCTGCTCTGGATGGACCTGCTTTGGCAGGGGGGTTGGACTTGATGATCCAGAGGTCCCTTCCAACCCCATGGGATTCTGTGATTCTGAGCCTTCTCCTCCCCTTCACCAGGGAGTATCTGCTGTGGGCAGGAGGAAAAGAGACCACCTGGATGATGAGCAGGGCAGTAAGCCAAGTACTAGACTGGGAGTCGATACAAGCTCCTGGGGGCAGCCAAAAAAAGTGTAAAGCAGAAAACACTTAGAACAAGGTGTGGGTGGTGGGTACCATTGCCTTCACTGTACCCCCTGGAGCTACAGCAATCGGGGGTGCAGATATGAGATAAATAATGTTATATATTTTTCTTGCATTATATGGTCTTTAGCCACACGAGAAGCCCAATTGGGCAGTGCTGTTATTCCCATTTTGCAGATACGATCTAGGAAAATGTGCCCAGGAAATGATGCATCTCATTGACTGAGCAAGTTGCCCATCTTTCCTTTCCAGGAGGGAAGTGGTTTCCTGCTCTCTTTTACCTTTTAAGTCAAGGATTTATGTAGCTGTTTTTTGGCAGCACTGAAGGTTCTGCAATTATGTTAATTAGCCATTTTGATAAAAAAACCCAGCTTTTTGTTACAAAATGAACTTCCTTGTTGAAAAATGCTAGATCTAGATCAAATCAAGAGAGGAGCTGGATTTCCTGCTGGTTCGTATGCTCTGTGCCTGGGCTGATTTAAGATCACTTCAGTTGTTGTGATGTATTTATTCTCCAAAACTATGGTTTTTTTATTATTATTCACTAGCATCTGTTTGTTAAACATTTAAATATTCCCACACCCAGAGCTTATTATTTCAGACATTTATGATGTACCCACCCATCACTGATTTCATTTTGGCAGTCATAAAACCAAAACAGCTATTTTTTACAATTGCCAACAAAACTATTGTGATCCATTCATCTTTTTAAAAGTCATCATTCAAATAGAAATGCAATGCAGCAAATATGCCGTGATTGCTGATGAGAAGGGAAAACTGTTGATCATTTGCTTGTCTGATGGAAAATAATTGCTATAGCAAGGAAAGGAGCTCCGACCTGGTTGGTGCTCCTAGTCTTTCCAGACAACTTCTGTGTTCCCAGGCTATCCATCCTCAAAATCTAGAAGACAGATTGAATAGAGGGGCACTTTTTTTCTCACTGTATCCTAAGGACTGCCAGATTTGGCTCTGGCAGGCTGTGAGCAGGAATGTATTTCAGAGCAGAGCATTTCCCACCATGGACGTCTCGGCCCCTCGCTATCAGCAGGACATAAATGAGAAGCAATCCTTCTGGTATGAGCTGGCTTGACCCTTTGCATTTCACTGGAGGGCAAATGTAGAGCTAGTACCGCGTGTGATTGCTGTGTGCTCCCTTGGACGGTCCAGTTTCGAAAGCATTCTGCATTAACTGGGCCTAGCAGGAGTTTTGGCTTCTCCATAAAGTTCTGATTCATGCTCCTTGCAAGCTGAAATTGGGTTGGCTTAGTTCATCTCTGCTTAAAAAAATGTGTTGGCAGGCTGCACGAGTCACGCGTGTTCCAGATACCGGACAAGTCAGGGAGAAGCAGGGGGGTGACCCAGCCCCTGGTTTTAAAATTGTAATAAGCGTGTGGCCATTTTAACACATCCTGTTTACGAGTAGCTTGGTAGCATCCAGCCTTTGGTTCCAGCAATGCCGTGGCTCCTGGCAAGGCTGGCTGTAGAGGCTGAAGCTGGTCGTGGTGCAGCAAAGGGCTGTGTGACTCTCCAGGGTGCTTTTCCCTCGTCTCGTGTTGCTTGCAAAGAGGGTGTGTTGGTATTTGGGTGTGAGGGAAGTTTGGCTTCTGGTTTGCCCCATGGTCACCTCTTTGATAAGTGAGGAGATTGTGTGGACGGTCACATCAGATGCTCCTTGTGGGTTTGATGGTGGGATTGGAAACCCAAGTAGGGACAAAAAGAGATGAGACTTTCTTGTGGTATGGGAGATGTCAGGAGAAACTTCATTACCACCCACCTCACCCCACCAAAACACAATTTTCCAGGTGATTGTATTGCAAAACAATGCCAGTGTATGTTCCTGGTGCTTTGGGAAGTGCCAGTCCAAAATCCTATCACATACCAGTCCTTTTGATCACCGAGCCTCTACTCATATCTGTTTCACTGTCTGCTAATGGCTTTTGTCATTAAATGCCAGAGAAGCTGTTCTCTGTGAAAGCAGCTTGAAGCATTTAGGACTCATTAGACTTCAAAGGAAAGAGGCCTGTACCACAAGCTAGAGGGGAGGAAATGGAGTGGCAAGAGGATCCCATTAATGGGGAACAAAAATAAACCCCAGACAGGAAGGAAAATCCTATAGGTCTGACTCAGAGCTGCAGTCCCGACACTGTGGCTTTGAGGATCGGTTTGACACGGGAGCTGCACAGAGAGAAACCCTTTGGCTTGGCTTCTACCTACACTAGACCTGGATGCCGTGAGCAAGCCTGGAGCCTGCACCAAGGGTCCCACCTGCACCAGCAGTTGCAAGGATGTCTGCATCTCTGGCATTTGCCTGTGGGCTTGTACACCCAGGACTTGCATGGCAGCAGACTGTAAGGTATCCAGGCATGTGCTTTGATAAGGGCTGCTCCTCCATCATCGCCACCCTGGTGAGAAAAGATGGGGATGCTGTTTGCTGGTAATTGTTTCCTTTTCTCTCTCCTTGAACATACTTGCCACTTTAAATGTTCTTTATTCTAATAAGGTGTTTAATCCATGGGAGGGAACGTGCTTCTCTATAGGTACGGTGCTTTTGGTGAGGATGTGCAGGGAGTAGGTCCTGACAGTGATTCAAAAGAGAGTGTTCCTGGACGTTGTGCTGACCTGCTCTTCTCACTCCATCTCTCCTGTTTAGGGAAGATCCTCTTCCGCCGGAGCCACATCCGTGATGTTGCAGTCAAGCGCCTGATACCCATCGACGAATACTGCAAGGTACGGGGAGGTTTCTAGTGTCAACCAAAGATGAAGCCACCTCGATCAGGCTCGATCCTGTTTGACCGATAGTACATAGTGGTGTGTCAGTGCCAGGATAACGGGGAATGTGGGCTGTCCCCACTATCAAACCCTTTCTGTGATGAAACCCCACCCACTGATTCTCCTTTCACTCCACATGATTAATACTGAGGGCTTGGAGGCCCAGCTCCACGCCAGCTTGCACCCTGCTGCTGTGCTTTCCTTTTCTCTTTTCCTTTCTCAAGCTGCAAACTGGAACCAGCTTTCCAGATGGGCTGGAAAGGACCTGGCTGCCTGGCCGTGTCCTGCCTGGTGCACGGTTTGGAGTGAAATGGTTGTGTGCAGGACTAGGCTTGAAGGACTCTGTTCTTCAGGGAGCCTTTCCTTTCCCACCTGCTGGGAACAGATCTTCTGTTTTATGTAGAGGACAACACTTTCTCGGTGGGATGGTCCCAAAATGGGACATAAACTCCTGTTACTGGTTATGCAAATAGTTACTTGCAGAGGTATAAGATGCCTTGTACCTGCAGAAAATTTTTGGAAGCCAACAGAGATCATCTCATCATAGACCCAAAATGCAGTTGATTGTCTGTGTCCTTGCCTTGATAAGGCAGAAACGATTCACTCCGTAATCTTAAAAAATATAAGACACTGCTTAAGTATAAGGCAAATCATGGCATTAGGACATTTTTCTCTGGGGAAAAAAACCCCAAAATACTGAAGTCCACAAAAAATTATTTTAATAAAAATAAAGTGTGCCAGATCTCATCACATCAAAGAATTCCACTGGTACTTGCAGCCATTAAATGGTCTTGGAAGAAAGTCCACCACTTCCAAAATCCAATCTGAATGCTGTTGAAAACATATCCAAAGACCGCAAAACCCAAGGGAGAAGATGGGAAAATGGTGAAATGTCCATCACATTCTATAAGTGCGGGAGGTGTAGCAGAGATTATGGTCTAGGATTTTGCATGGTGGGTGAGACTGTGGGTTTTGGGACTCAGCCAGACCTATGGGAGTGATGTTGTGGCTGGAATAACAAGTACAAAGGATAAAGATGAATTAGTAAATGCATCTTGACAGCTCTGCAGTGAGGCTGCGGGTGAAAACCACTGCAGACCGGGACAGCAGATGAGAGCAGAGTGATGGAGTTATAACACAAGGTGTGCTTGGACCTGTGTGTTCCAAAGAGCATGGGGGAAGCTGATGGTGTGAGGAACAGCTGGGCTCCAGCCAGGCATGATCAGCCCCTTGTCTTCTGAGTCACTAAAATGTGCCAGCTACATACAGGCACAGACATCCGTAAATTTAATTTTTGGGAAGAAAAAGTCCCTAAGTGATAAGATGCTGCAGCTGTCTCTTTCAGAATGATGCCATTAATGGCGTAATATATATAATGAATCCATTTGACTTAACAACTGGAACATAATGGCTGATGTTGTATGACCCACTTAGAGAGTGGCTCTCTCCTCCTCCCGTTAATGCATTACCAAGTAATAAAATGTACACTGTGTCTGGCCTTCCAGTTGTTGCTACTTAACCATAAAGCTGCTGAGCTGAAGGTGGGTGTGGGACCGAAGGCTGCAGAGATATAGGATGAGCAAGGAGTCAGCGAGAGCAGAGAGATGTCCCTGCTGGGCACGTCATGCTGCAGGTTGCCAGCACACTCCTACTGCCATGTTTATCATTGGAGGTGGACGTTGCACGTGCTTGGAGGGTGATGGTGCAGAATAGAAATATAAAATATTTCCTCCAGCTTGGCCCTGTTGAGGGAGACTTGGAGGTTGGGTGAATATGTTGTGAACAAGTTCCCGCACAAGACTGTGTAAGAAAGTTTTTGCTTTCTTGCCATCTCCTGAGAGAGAAGTGGGGTGTCCTCGTTCCCTGGGAGAGCCCTGGAAAGAAGGTGGGTGAGATTTGGGGTGGAAGTAGGCCAGAGGAGCAAAGAAGGGAACCACTTCTTTCACAAGGCAGTGCTTTTGTTGAAGGGCTCTGTTCCAGGTCCCACCATACTGAAAAATGTGGCAGTTTAAAGTAAGGTGCAAGAAAAGAATCAGAGCAGTGAGTAAGAGCAACCAGTGGCCAAATGAGACTTCAAACGGCCATAGGAATGACAAGGAGGGGAAGCAGAGGCCTGAAATTTCTTCCCATTTCTCCAGTTTATTTTCTTTGTGTTCTACATCTGTTGGTCTTTCCCCTGGTGTGGGAACTGCCTTCCTCCTGTTTAAGGGATTTTGAGAAAGTGTTAGTTGGAGGGTTGATGAAGGAATTGCAATGCTGTGACGCTCTAACCCAACGAGACTGGGTGGACCACTAAAAAAATTGCTGCTAGAGAACAATCCTTTCTCACTCCCTGGAAAATGGATTTCAATGCAATAGGGCTTGTCTGTCTTTGTGCCAGCTGAATCAGCTCTAAGTGGGCTTTCTTCAAGATGTCCTGAGAAACAAGCTGTGGGTCTTGCCTTTCATCCTTCCAGCACGGGGTGTTTTCTGTGATCATCCCCTGCTATCAGAAGACAGGGAGCCTTCTCCAGGCCACAAAATCAGAGTGATTTTTGCATGCCCCCATTGCGTAGCTCACGGGATGCCTGAAACTGGGAAGTGGTACCCACGTGGGATGGCATTCACACAAAACTTGGTCTTTGAATAGCCCTTCCCTGGACCCAAAAGCCATAGAGCAAGTCTTTTTCTCTCTCCTGTCTCTCACATGATCTTGATCGCAGCTGGCCCATGATTAGTGGTCTGCCTGTCTGCTGTGCTGGCAGTGAATGACTGTCTGCTGAACGGCTGGAAGGGCTTTTGGGGGCCAGCAATTAGGTCAATATGGAGCCACATCTGATCTGTGTGGTAACCCCGGGGCTTTGCAGATGTGGCATTGTCTCCAGTACAGAAATGAGTGGAGGTTTGGTCTGCCCACACTGCTGTCACGAGACTGCTGTGACAGCAAATGGAGGGGAGGGGGAATTGAATAGGAAACTGGTTAAACATCTATTCCAGGTCGGGCTGCAGCACTGCTCCCTGATTTCAAATTGTGCCTTTTTCTGTTGCATGTTTGTTTTATTTCACTTTTTGCAGTCGCCGTCATCTGTGACTCCATTCCCTCTCATGAGCAGAGAGCAGGGCAGGGGTCTCTGCCAGGCAGCCACCCAGCCCACCTCCCCTGCCCAGCCCTTGCTGCAGCCCATGTTGGAAGGGACCTACAAAAGCCCTGGCGCAAGGCAAATATTGCTGTCCCAGGCTCTGTCCCCAGCTCCCAGAGTCATGCACGCTCTCACCCTGCAAGTCCCACCCTTGAAACCTGTCTTTTTGCAACAGGCTTCTGCGAAGGGAAAGGAGAGAAGCAGAGACAGTTTATAGCTCAGGCCACCTGACAGATGCACAGCAGCCTTCCAGCCCTTGCCCTGATGAGCTGGTGTCTGCGCTTTTGCCTCCTGTTGCTTCTGCCCCTGCCTCTTCCCGAGCTGCTGTTGCCCAGCAGAGCATTTTTGGGATGTGCCAGTCAGGGCTGATGGCACTGAGAGTCTGCCATGTGTAAACTGCCCAGCCTTTCCCGAGAGTGATGGCTCCTTGCCCAGGGCACAGCTGGGAAACTGAGCCCTGCTGTGGCCGGGAGGCTGGATGCTGGGATGGATATCCCAATGGCTCCTACCCTGTGAGGACACATCTGTCCAAAAGGCTGGAGCTGGGCTAAGCAGTTCCCGGGCAGTCTCTGCTTATCCTCCTTCAGTCTTCAGTTGCTGCTGGGGTGGTGTGGTGGGGGTAGCTGGGGGCTGGTGCGTCTTGCTCCACTCTGGTGCATGTTTGCAGTAGCTCTCTCCAGCCTGGCTCTTTGCTCCTGTGTGCTGGGAACCACATGGGTGCCGAGCTCCTCATGCCATGACCCATCCCCTGGGCTCCTGAGGGCATGTCTTCACTCAACTCCTTGCTCAGTCTTGATGCTTACCATCACCAGTGCCTCTGTTTTGTCCACAGGCTCTGATCCAGCTGCCTCCCTACATCTCCCAGTGTGAGGAGGTTCTCCAGTTCTTTGAGACACGACCTGATGACTTGACACCTCCTAAAGAGTAAGTTGGTTGGGTGGCTGCCACTACTGGGATGGTGATAAAACACAAACTGCCTTGAACTTGCTGGTATCTATAAGAGTCTGACATTCATCAGTGGTGCCCCTGTGAGTCACAGATCTGGGATTTGGAGGTTTTCTTGCAGAGGGAATGGGGGCTGTGCAGCTTGTGGTGGACACATCTGCCAACTCCTGGCATAGCTTTCTGCAGCGGGGAAGTGGAAACGCTTCTCTGGGACCCCATGAAGTGTTGGTCTCCTCCCAAGCCACTTTCTACTCGCAAATGCTTGTTTCAGAAATATGGTCAGTCTGAAAAGCCTCATTTCACACGGTTACTAACAACCTCTGCCTTGTTTGAAAGGCCCTTTCCCTTAGCCATGTCCATGAGCCCCATCCGTAACAACGCTCCCGAGTCTTTCCATGCAAAACAAGGAATGTTTGCAAGGAATCTCGCGTGCCTTGCGCAACTCTGTGTGGTTGTAAGTCTTGTGACTATGAGCTACTTTGGCCAGGAGCCACCCATCTCTTACTAATCACAAGCAGCATAAATCTGAGCAGCCGCCTCCATCTCCTGGTACACTGCTCTCTTGATGCTGCATGTGACACGATGCGCAGCTCTACCAAAGGTTGAGCAATGGAGGAGGCTTGATTAATTGTGAGAGGAAAGGCAGTAAATTGATTTGACATCATTCTGTATTGGAAGGGTGGGGAGGTAGATAAAGGGATTTTGTTTTTCTCCTCCGAGCAGCAACACTGAGCCTTTCAGGTCTCCAGCTAAGTATTACACTTACCGTGGATTATATATTCTCCCTGCATTTTCGATTTTTTTCATTCCCTCTTTTAATTCTCCCTTCCCCCCATTCCTGCTTTCCTCTTTTGGCTCCTGTCTCTATTTGCTTGGCCTGTCATCATTCCTCCTGCAGCTCTCAGTCACTTGATGAGATTGGTCTGAGGGCTCTGGAGCCCATTAACTAATTGCTTGCTGTCGGCTGGCGCTCTCATCTGTCCTGCCCAGCTATTGCTCCCCACTTAACCTGCCACCCCGGCGGTCATCCCTCAGCCAAGGCAGCAGCTCAGGGGCAAGCAAGAGACACGGGGAAAAAATGAGCTTGCAAGGACATTGAGTGGGGGTTCTAGCAGCAATCAGTGCTATGTCCCTCGCTCTCTCCCTGGTTTGGGTCCAACGGACAAGGGGAGCGGAGGCACCAGCCTGAAGTCCAGTCCCCAGCATGTGGTTGTGTTCTGGGGTCTGTCCTCAATATACATCCTGCAGTGTCCTGTGGGACTGCTGAGCAGCTCCCGGGTGCAAAACTGTACTCACTGCAAAATTGCCCTGTGTTTGTGAGTGTTTGGCCACTGCAGTGCTGGATGGGCGAGTGGGTGATGCACCACTGAATCCAGCAATGGGTTGTGCTCCATCCCACTGCCTGCTCCTCTCTGGGGAGGAGAGGTGAGGTTGCAGCACGCAGAAGGACTTAGCAGGTGACTCTTGCCCATTTGCCTCCAGCAGCAAAATGCTAGAGCATCTCAAGGACGTCTCTGTTGTGTTTGCTATCCCAGCCTGGATGCCAGAGGGGTATTTATTAGCTACAATTCAAAATGCTAATTAATAAAAGTCCTTGACTCTCTCCTCTGGAGAGATTGGTGGGAGCCCTTTGCCGAGCCCCGCGTGCTGGCCGGCCGCCAGCGCACCACTAACGAGATGAGAGCTGTGATAGACGGCTGGGCTGGATCAGACGTGATGGCGTGTCTGGGGTTTGGCCGGATGTCATCATTCATCCAGCAGATAAATACTTTCTCCGGGAATTTGAAAGGGAGCCAGGCCATGAACAGAGTAGGGAGAAAAAAAAAAGAAAAAGGAAAAAAAAAAAAGCAGCTTTTTTTGCTGGGTGGCTGAAAGGTGGGAATGAGGGAGGGAAGAAGGACTGGTCAACGTGCTTAATGCCAAGCCAAGAAGCCGCTCTTGAGGCACCGTGGCTTGGGACCCTTCTGCTCTGCATCCCTCACCTCAGCTTCCCCAGTTGATTCCTCGGGTCACAGCATGCCCACAGGAGTGGCAGTTGGTGGCAGTGAAGGGGACCTGCCTTTGGGTGCTGTTGGGTGCACCCTCTGCTTGTTTTTTTTCTGGGGCAGGGGTAGAGGACCTGCCTAGCTCGCATCACCCCAAAATGTGAAACCAATTTCAGGGGCCACAGTTGACTGCAATGTGTGGAGCTCCGAGTTTAACTGCAAAGGATGAATTTAGTCCTTGGATCTGGCAGTGTTTGTGAGTGGAAAGAGGAGGTTGGACAGTCCATGCATCTGTCTCCAGGCTCTTGTGGTGTGTACTTTCCCCAGTGCTGGAGCTTCTCCTGGGCTGAACCAGGGCTTTCCTTCTGCTTTCCTGTGGTGCATCTCCCTTCAGTGCCACTTTGCACTGGTGGGAGCACCAACAAAAACAGAATTGCTGATGGCTACCAGCCTTGCAACCCGAGTTCCTCAACCCTTCTCAATCTCTCACCTGCCCTACAAGCCCCATGCATAAAGGGAGATCAAGTGGACGAGGACTGAGCGGAGAGGGAAGGAGTCAAAAGCTGACTTGTGCATCCTTCTTCCGCCATCGCGTCCAGCTGGGAGGTAGATCACAGCAGAAAGCGGAGCTGAGACAGGAGTCTGTAGCAGTCGGGGGCTGGAAGTGGGAGGTGAAGCCCTTCCTCCATCCCCTCTGCGCATACCCGCCAACTTTCCAGCATCCTCTTGCCCGGAGGGACCACTTCAAACAAGAGTAGATTGAGGTTGTGGTGTTTCCACTGGCATTGATGACCTGTAGCTTTCATGACGTGGATCCCTGTCCAGCAAGCTCTGGACTGGGATAACTCAACTGCTTCTATCTCGGAGGGTTGCCAGGCGGTGGGTCAGCAGGGCTGTGATCCGGAGGGATTGGTTACATTTGGGAAGAGGTGACTCCACAGAGCAGTGGTGGGGGACGGAGGGAGAACAGAAATGGTGATGGAAAGAGAAATCATCCGGAAAGTTAGCAATCTGTGGGGATGTGGTATTTTTCTTGCTGGTGTTGGATGGGAGCCCTATGAAAACTGTAGTTTAAAAGGAGAGAAATCATCCAGCTTTTTTTGCTGGGTGGCTGAAAGGTGGGAATGAGGGAGGGAAGAAGGACTGGTCAACGTGCTTAATGCCAAGCCAAGAAGCCGCTCTTGAGGCACCGTGGCTTGGGACCCTTCTGCTCTGCATCCCTCACCTCAGCTTCCCCAGTTGATTCCTCGGGTCACAGCATGCCCACAGGAGTGGCAGTTGGTGGCAGTGAAGGGGACCTGCCTTTGGGTGCTGTTGGGTGCACCCTCTGCTTGTTTTTTTTCTGGGGCAGGGGTAGAGGACCTGCCTAGCTCGCATCACCCCAAAATGTGAAACCAATTTCAGGGGCCACAGTTGACTGCAATGTGTGGAGCTCCGAGTTTAACTGCAAAGGATGAATTTAGTCCTTGGATCTGGCAGTGTTTGTGAGTGGAAAGAGGAGGTTGGACAGTCCATGCATCTGTCTCCAGGCTCTTGTGGTGTGTACTTTCCCCAGTGCTGGAGCTTCTCCTGGGCTGAACCAGGGCTTTCCTTCTGCTTTCCTGTGGTGCATCTCCCTTCAGTGCCACTTTGCACTGGTGGGAGCACCAACAAAAACAGAATTGCTGATGGCTACCAGCCTTGCAACCCGAGTTCCTCAACCCTTCTCAATCTCTCACCTGCCCTACAAGCCCCATGCATAAAGGGAGATCAAGTGGACGAGGACTGAGCGGAGAGGGAAGGAGTCAAAAGCTGACTTGTGCATCCTTCTTCCGCCATCGCGTCCAGCTGGGAGGTAGATCACAGCAGAAAGCGGAGCTGAGACAGGAGTCTGTAGCAGTCGGGGGCTGGAAGTGGGAGGTGAAGCCCTTCCTCCATCCCCTCTGCGCATACCCGCCAACTTTCCAGCATCCTCTTGCCCGGAGGGACCACTTCAAACAAGAGTAGATTGAGGTTGTGGTGTTTCCACTGGCATTGACGACCTGTAGCTTTCATGACGTGGATCCCTGTCCAGCAAGCTCTGGACTGGGATAACTCAACTGCTTCTATCTCGGAGGGTTGCCAGGCGGTGGGTCAGCAGGGCTGTGATCCGGAGGGATTGGTTACATTTGGGAAGAGGTGACTCCACAGAGCAGTGGTGGGGGACGGAGGGAGAACAGAAATGGTGATGGAAAGAGAAATCATCCGGAAAGTTAGCAATCTGTGGGGATGTGGTATTTTTCTTGCTGGTGTTGGATGGGAGCCCTATGAAAACTGTAGTTTAAAAGGAGAGAAATCATCAAATTCCTGCTCCCTGCGTATCTCAGCAGGTTTGACCAGCAGCAGGATGTTTGGCTGTTGAGGTGGGAAGTTACTGTGTGCACCCCCCTTACCTCCCACCCACCCTTTTTCAATTTAAAGCCGTTTTTAGCCACAGCAGAGGGTTTCTGGAATAAGGCTGGGGAAGTCTGAACAGCTGGGCACAAAGCCACTGCTGAGTCAAGGCATTCAGCTGTGAACTCTCCTCGCCAGCTGAATTTCGGCTCTGCGACATGCAGGAGCCCAGGTTAATTCTGTAATGAAGCAAGACCCTAAGTGGTTATTTAATAATTGTCCACACTTTACAAGCGGGGCGCACTGTGGAAGGAGCCGTCATTGAGCTGCTTCCAGGGGCCATAGAGCTGCTGTCCTCTGTATGGGAGGTACCCCTGGCCTTAAGAGGCATCCTTTATTAAAAGCATCTTTCGTTGCTGTTTCTTTATAGCTGACATATATAAGACACTTAAAGTTGTTGTTTGGAACGTTTTAGCTTATGAACCCAATTTAATTTTTTTCCGGTAGGGGCACAGGCACCTGTAGAGCAAATTTACTATCTCTTAATGTGCTTAAAAATGTCCTTGAGCACCCCTCCTCGCTCCCTCTGGGGGCTGTAGGTTCAGAGTTTGAAAGCTACCTGCTTCAGGAGGTCCTGATGTC